TCAGTACTAAAGGAGTCTTCGACGGTATACTGAGAAACAATGAGGTAACTGTTCAACCAAGGATATTGAAATACTGTCTGGTGAAGCCTTCTGTTTCTATCATGGAATCAGGTAGTCTTTAAATACACAAATCTATTCATGTCTAGCATGTGCAAAACTATTCAAAGGGATCAAATAATACACTTTGGTAAAACAACTTAAGTATCAAAATGATACTTAAAACAAAATACAAAACAAAACTAAGTATCAAAGTAATACTTAAAAAAAAACATAAAACAAAACTAAGTATCAAACGATACTTAAAACAAATCAAGTATCAAAGCGATACTTAGAACAAAACATAAAACAAAACTATTAACCAAGTACTGATACCGGTTACATCATAGGTGAACCAGTCTCTTTGCTTCTGTCCCTGTTGGAAGGGCATAATCGTCCAGCGAGTCACCTTAATAGTGATTTCACATAGTGAATTTTGATATTGTCATCTTGTTCTCCATATTCTTTGACTGCGAAGTATCCTTCACATTGTGCTAGGAATATTCTTAGTTTATCTTCAGCTCCTTTGTATATATCTGGTTTCTTTGCCTTCGGCCTTTAGACATTCTCTTGTCCTGCTATCATATTTCCTATTACTGTTAAGAGAAACTGAAACTGGGTTTCTGTCATTCCCATAACATGGGTTTCTGGTGCTGGAGCAGCCAGGGCCTGTAGCACTAATACTGCTAGTCTAGATATCCTTCTTGGTCGTGAAGTTCTTTCAGGTAAGCTATCGACTAGGTAATCTGATTTCTGATATTACTAGACTTGCTGCCCTCGAGGACTCTGCAGAAATGTGACCTATGGTATTACTAAATTCCTCTAGATTGAGGTTTTGATCATTGATGTCGATATTTTCTTCCCTAGCTAGATGGCAGGAAGCTATCTTCTATGGCTTTTCGTCGCTTTAGGTGATGCTTTGTAATGTAGCAATCCTACCTCAGATAGTTAGTTCCTAGTTACTGGGAATGATACTTCTCTGCTTTTTTGGTGTATGATAGCACTATGCCTGTACCTATGTTTCCAATAGTACAAGACCTTTGTTTTCTATTAGGAATGCCAATAGTAAGCTTTCTCTAACTCTTCTTCCTGAAGAGTATTCTTGTCATAGTAGCAATACAAGTCATGATAATAATAAAGAGTGTCAAGGTGTTTTATCTTTGTTAAAGTAATAAGTAGGAAAAGTACTTAGAATAAAGCGATAAAGTGTGAAGAGCCTATCCTCCTCTGCCGTACTAGCCTCCTTATATAGTGCTCTTCCCACTACAAGTCACATGACCAAAATTTGTCACATATACAAAACCCCATGACCTTGTAGCAAGGTCATGTGCAAAA